TGTTCTGGCAACTGATCAGGTGGTTGACCATGAAGAACATGCTAGGTTACCCAGGAACTTCTGTCAAGAAGGCCAGGCAAGATAAAGGGGAGATGTGTATGTGGACTTCAAGGAAACTACCTCAGCTGTCTTCCTTAAGAGCAACATCTTAAACCAGGACAGCTGTTTCTACTATAAACTTGTGATTATAGTGTCCTAAGTTACTGTCTATTGACAGATTTCAGCTGTTCAGTGTTTGATATAGTTGAGATGGTACTTGCAATCTTCACAGAGTTGTTTCAGGAAATAAGATTTGGAACATACACACTGACTTTTACATAAAACAGTGATAGATGAGAACAAAATAAAGACAAATTGTTTAATTGTTAGTTAAGAAAAAACAGTGGTACAAGATAGAGTGTATATTAATGGTTAAACAGTAAAAGAGCTTTCAAAAATGTATCACAGGAAAAAAAATTAATTTTTATTTGATGTTTTGTAAAAATACTCTACTTGCTATCACTCCTACCTGCATCAGTCAGTCACATGGTATCTTAATGCGAGGAGGGAGGTTAACTGAACTTCCATAAAATCGTATGACTGCTGTGCACATTTCAGTCATTTTAAGAGAACAACGGTTGCATTAACTGCTTGTCATGAGTAAAATAAACTCTTACGATTCCTGAGTTTATCAGCTATCCTATCTAATAGTTGTCACAATACTTCATGGTACAGATATTTTAAAGCCTAGCAGCTCCCCCATTTGCGGTATTTGGGAATTAAGCTTAGCCCTTTACAAGATCTCCATTCCTTAAAATTGAAAAAGCAGAAGTCATCCCTTAAAGCAGAATCCCTAGCAAGACAGAAAAAGCAGTATCAGGTTCTGCAAATGCTACTATCAGGATGGTTTTTCTCTTTGTATTTACATGATTTTTTTGTTGTTTGGTTGGGTTTTTTTAAATTAACATGTCCATTTGAAGTGTTGCTGTGCAGAAGATAAAATGTTCTCTTGCTAGGTAGATTTTAATCATCAAGCTTCTGAGCTTAGAATACAGTCTCTTCTTGGCTACACTTGCTGGAACTGTGCACTTTACTTGCTGGAACTGTGCACTTCTTTAAAGTGCTTATTTTTATATATGCCAAGGATTAAGATAAAGAAGCTCTCTTACAGTAAATTAGCAGTCTTCCAGAACTATGTATGTGTAATGTCATCTACACGGTATTTTACCACTTTTTAAGTTGTCTTAAGCTTTAAAATGCAATTGACTTCAATACTTAAGAAAATATTTACATTGGAGGAATGGATATTGAGGACTTCTTCTATGCCACTTATGCTGTATTTCACGCTTCTGGCAGATACTGATGGTAAAAGGTTTAAATAGTACAAAGAGCTGTCCCTTGTTGCAGAGAATATATGGGATACCAGTCTGTAAAATAAAATTTATATATTCCAAAGAGAGAATGATTAATCAAGCATGGGGAGCCTGTAAGAGTAGTGCCTGCCATTTTA